TTTCTTGTCTGATTTTACCTAATAGTCATTTTCTAAGCTTTGGGAGGGTTCAGATGAGATATATTTGATGAGTCTTTCCCCTCTTTGGTTTAAAAAAATCAGAAGCAAATATGAGAAAAATTTCATCATTTGTTAATTTTGAGTATGGGTCTTAGTAGTATAAAGATAACCGGTTTTTAAAAACCAGTAAAAAAGAGAGAGATGTAATAATGGATATACTTAGTTATTTTTAAGATAGCAGATATTTGAGCATATCTGATTACTCAAGAGTTTATCAAGTGGCCTTTGGTTTGGTATTTTTTTGTTGTTGACAAACAGTTTTTTACTTATCTTCTTCCTCTTTCTCCTCCTCCTCCTCCTCTTTCTTATCTACCTTTCTCTGGGCATCCATGGCAGGACCTTCGTGCCACCCATTTTCCCTTTAGACTCAAAGCCGCTGACACCGCCTGTCCATCTCCAGCAGCTTCCCTGCCTTGCTGTCCTGAAGCTGCCTCTCAGTCACTGATTCCACAGCTCATCCAGCTTGTCTACACATCTCCAAAAGCAATCCCAGGGTCTATGGATTTGATGCTGGGTGGGATCCTGAATAGAACAGACAGTGGTCTTTGGGAGGCATTAGGGGCCTTCTCCTTCCTTCCCTGAGTTGGTCCATAATCCTTCATTTCCCCGCCACAGCCTATTTTGTCCATCTTTGTCCTTTCATCAAATGTAGACTTCTCTTTCCCCAGACATTATCTTCCAACTCTCAGAGCACCTGGAAAGTTCTGTGAAATTGATAAGAACTTCTGAGTTTTTCTTCTGATCCTCCCCCTGCATGTCTGCACAGAGAAGGCATGAGCAGACATCTTGCCCTGTGGTTTCCAGGGGTCGATGTCACCATCCCGACCATCTAGCTGGCTGGCTGGGCAGCACAGGGCGTATCGGGTGGCTTGACACTCTCTAGCCTTGTACCACAGCCTCCTTCTTAGCATATTCTTAAACGGGGCTGGGATGTCATCTCTGAGGGGTGATGAATTGGCAGAGGTGCCGTGGGTCTACTCACTAAAAAACGGGAGTAGATTCTGAAGAACTAAAAATCTTGAATCTTAATAATAGCAAAAATAGCAAAAGTAGAAAAGGTAGCAAAAGATTTCTATGGCTACCAAACTATTATTGGATTTATTAAAGAATGCACATCCTTCTTATAATATTCTGTTTTCAAGGTACATGGCATATATTTCACATCTACTAGGTTTTCTTGAACTCTCACTAAAATTCCTGAAGTATTTGTTTACAGCAGAAAAAACTCATATAATCATTTCTATTTTTCTTGGCTTAAAAAATTACTAGGTTTTTTATTGTACTAAAATTACGTGACTGATATTTAAATGAAGAAAATACAAACACATTCAATTGAAAAATTAAGCAAAAACCTGCTTTTGTTAATTCAAACTATGTTATTAACAAAAATTTTAGACAGTGGTTAAACAAACTGGCTAAGAGATTACACTATAAATTGTAAAACTTCTATGTAAACACCTTGCGGGCAAGTTATCTTTTATAATCTCTATAGTATCTACTACAAGAAACACTAAGAGCCTGCAGAATGAATAATAGCAGTAAGAAGTTTGCGTCTTTAAGGCAACAATGGTTTGTAACATCTATTTTCAGGATAATCAAGAAACACCAAAAGCAAGATTTAGAAAATCAATGTATAAGAAAGCATATGTCAAAAACAATCCCTCATGTTTTTACAACTTCTCCCAATACAGAGCAAGGAAGAAATTAAGCACTGTTTTAAACTGACGTTGACAACATGTAACTTTGCTGTTATCATTCTGGGATGATAAAAAGAAATGACTCATTTTTTAAAAAAACCCTGAAGACTTCAATCACACACATACTCCTTTTTCTCCCTTTTTGATGCGTTTTTTTTTCCTAAAGTGCCAAAACTGAGAAATGTATCACCTTTAAATACCTCGTCTTAACGGCTGCCCCATGAGGAATGTGACTCACTGCTGTATCAAGTAAACAGCAATACGACAGAATCTTGATCTTTCTTTTCAGCTGAATTTAACAGCGATATCTTCTTTTTTAAACATGTTATAGAAAGATTTTACAAATGGCAGGTTACTGGGCTTTTCTTATCCACGGGGATAACCTTTGTCTGGAAATTTTCTAGTGGAGGTAGAAGAGGGAAACTGTGGCTTCATACTCCACCTGTCAATCCTGAAAAGCTGCTGAAACCATCACTTTGAGTAGAGAAGCGGCAAGTGGGAGGGGCTGGATCAATTCAGTGGGCACATGACACTGGTTTCTCTCAAAAGCATCTGTCACAGTGTAACCCAGGGGTGGCCATGAAATCCCTGCCCAGGAGTACCTTTTGAGTTTTGGAAAAGATGAGGACAAAGTTTTGCCACAGAGGCAGGTACCTGGCATTTGTTCACTCTGGGGACAGGGAATGGGGAGGTGATGGCCTGGATGGTGTGGTCAGCTGTGAAATGCTGATCTCAATTTGTTTTGTTTGCTGAGAAGAAAAAACAATAGGCAGAAGGAAAGTTCAAAGTGTTATGATGGCAACGCTCCTAACTTTCTTTTATAGGTTTTTAAAAGGTTGTAATTTGAAATAATTTCAAACTTAGAAAAGTTTCAAGAATAGTACCAGGAACCCTTGATCTTCCTTAATCAGATTCACCAATTGTTATTTTGTCATAGCTGCTTTCTCTGTCACACATACACACAATCACACACTCTGTACTGACATGGACAGGTATTATTCCTGAGCCATCTGAGAGTAGGCTGCATACAGTATGTTGTATGTATTTTTGGTGTATGTATATAAGTATTTTTCCCTTAATACTTCAGTGTATATGTTCTAAGAACAAGAATATTCTCTTTCCTAACCATGGTCAGTAGGTACCCAGTCCTGGAAATGTAAAATTAATATAAAACCAATATCCAATGCATAGACCAATTTTATCGACTGATCCTAAAATGGCCTTTCGTCAAAAACTTTTCTCCAGTACAAAATCCAGTCCAGGATCACATATTCCACTTGGGCAGCATGACTCCCTAGTCTCCTTTACTCTGGAGCATTGGTAGTTTTGAAGAACATAGGCCACATATTTTATAGAATGTCCCTCAAATAAAGTTTATCTTATTTTCCTTTGTGATCAAAGTTATGCATGTCGATTGTAACACATAACTGATGTGTCCTTTTCAGGATAAGAACATAATGATTCTTTGTTCTGTAACTGGTGATGTTAATTTTGATAACTTGGTTAATGTGGTGTCCTCTGTAGAATTACTATTTTCCTTTGTAATTAATAAGTAACGTGTGGAGGATACTTTGAGAGTACAAGTACTCCTTAACTTAGCATGGAGTTAAGTCCCAATAAATCCATTCTAAGTTGACAATATCGTAAGTCAAAAATGCACTTAGTACGCCCAACCTACTGAGTATCACAGCTTAACCTGGCCTACCTTACACATGCTCAGAACACTTAACATTACCTTACAGTTGGGCAAAATAATCTCTTAGAAATCTAGAGTATTGACTATCGCATGTAATTATTGAGTATTTTACTGCAAATGAAAAACAGAACGATACACAGTCACTGCCCAGCATTGCAAAAGAGTCTCATACCACGTATCGCTAGCCGGGAAAAGAGCAAAACTCAAAATTTGATGTATGGCTTCTACTGAATATATATCACTTTTGTACCACTGTAAAACTGGAAAATGGTTAAGTTCATTGATGTTACTTCCCTGAATGGATTTTTATTATAATGCTTGCAAAATTTGTGATTTTCTAATGCTATCATTCTTTGTATATTACTTGACATTCCATTTAGGGAAAGCATTTCCTTTCCCCCAATGTATGTATTTATATAAATATTTATTAATATCATTCTAATGCATGAATTCTTAGTATCCTTTATTTATTTTGATCGCCAAAGCTGATGCCCCAGATGTGGCCAGCAGCTGGCTCCAGTGTCCTTCTGACATGTTCAACCAGTGACTGATCACTTCCTTCCTTTCCTGGCACATGATGATCCATGGCTGTCCTATATGTTCCCTACCCTGGGCCTGGAATCCACTGAGAGGCCTGGTTCCTTTTAGTGCAGAAAAGTGTTTAGAAGCCAGATCTGGGTGGTACGTATGCCCACTGTTACCAGGAGGCCACTGCTTCTGAGCTCTCTTGGTCAGAGTGAGGGTGTACACACACACACACACACACACACACACACACACACACACACTCTCATGAGTTTATGCTGATAGTGATAATTCCTTCCCAACCCCACAGGGCACTGTCTTCCCCTGCTTTATATTTTTATTTTCTTTCTTCCATAATAAAATCAACCTAGTTCCTCCTTAGCTCAAACCTGTACTACAGGCAGCATAATTTTAGAATTGCTATACTTATATCCTTATGAAAACTAAACCTATAAAGAAGTGTTTAAGATTTGTCTGCCGTTCTTTTTGTTTCTTCTTTAAGGGTATATCAGGTTCAAAAGTTATTGAAATCCATTTTCCCTCCTTCAATGTGATCATGTTATTCATTTGAAATGTAGTTGGATCATTTGTTTGTTTCTTCTCAGTTTTACATTTGACCCTGTCCTTTTGATTTGCTTGTTGAATAAGTAAAACATTAACATGACTCAAAACCATACAAAAGTGAAAGCATGTCAAAGACACACTCCGTCCCCATTCTCCCACCTCCTCCTCCGATCCTTTACAGAAAATCAATCTCATTAGTTTCTTGTATATATGAAATGTAAGAGCATCCAAAACAAGCTACCATAATGCATTCCCCACCAGCCCAAATAATGCCTTCTTCAAACTCATAAGAACCACAGTAGCCAAAAAAGGCCCAAAGTCTCTATCATGGTGGCAGCTGGACTGCTGTCACTGTCTTTGTATTTATACGCCTGATTACCTTCAAGTCCTGTTGATCAAAACTGCTTCAACTCTGAAGCATGGATTTAGGATGAGTACAAGTGTTACTGATTAATTACCTGTTCCTCGGAAACTTCTAGAGGAGCGGGCACTGCTGGCTCAGACTGCTGACCACCCTGATAGTTTACATTTTGTCGCTGACGTAAAGGAGGGAAAAGACGATTCCAATTGATCATTCCTCCCTAAAAAGAGATCAACACATAGTTATCAGACACAGAAGGAGCAGAACCGTCATAATGCTTGGAAGAGCTTTCTCTCAATGCAGTTACATCTATAGACTGGGAATGAAGTGTCACATTGATCTGCTCCAGGTAAGCAATTCAAATCCAGAAATATCACGACATCCTTCAGTCAATAGGACAAAATTGGCAGCCTGCAGTAGGTGCTCAGGAGAAAAGAAAGTAATGGGCAGTGCAAAAGCTGTTGGTACACAGTGGCTGTGGAAGGCAGTGAAAGACACATACAGACACTCCTAATTTCAACCTGTGACGCCACTGACTGTCCCAACTCCAGTTAACTCTTAGGAGCTCAGGGCTCTGCAGGGGGTGACAGGAAGGACGACATGGAGAGGAGGCTAAGTCACTGTGGGCAGCCAGAAATCAGGCGTTTCCATCACAGCCCTTAAATGCTCCCCTACTCTACCATTCTTCTACTTATGATTGAAGTGAATCCTGAGCACGCACAGTGGAGGGAGGCTGCAGGCTGTAATAAAGACTCAGCAAAAGGCTAGAGTGTGAAGGGAAATCCGACAAACAGGGAAAAGGTGAAAAGGGAGGATCAGTAGCCATATTTCTGAGGGTGGCTTCATGGATCCTAAAGACTGACAGCAATGCCATTCCTTGTTTAGTCTATGTCACGAACAACAAGAAAAAAGCCAACATGGGAAGAAAAATGCATCACATGCTGCTTTAAAAAAATCCATGTTTCTAGCTATATGGCAATCTTTGAATTTATAAATTTCAATCTCTATTTCTAGAAGTCTTCTAGTCCTGACAAAATTATAGACTAAGCATCTGAAAATCTTCCTACCATAAAGACCTAAAAATGCTATTAACAGAGAAATATTTCTATACTCAGCTAACCATAAAAGGAGTAAGTGGAGTCCCAAGGCCTCAGGAACAAGCGGGCATGGGAAGCGGAGCCGCACTGGACAGCGGCCCGGGAGAGGGGGGAGCACAGTCCTGCTCATCCAGAACCACTTGGGTTTTATCACTGTTTGGGTTCAGAAGATGTGGCCTTGGGTCTGAAAGAGGAAACAATTTTGAGCTCAATTATCTGTCTAAAGATACAGTCTTCAAATGGCAGTACCTTCAGCGAAAGAGATGAAAAAAAATCAAATTAAAAATCCTGTCTTTCTCCAGGAGAGAGCAGGAATCTTGGTCCTGCCTGAGAATTAAGAGCCACAGGCAAAATTTGAGGTTCAAGTTATACTATACATATGTGGTCTTAGAACCCATCAAAAAGTTATATAAAAATTGGTTTTGGGATGGAGATATCTAAGGAGCCAAGCAAAAGCAAATACAAAATTACTCTGCAGAGATAGTCTCTTGCCCTGGGGTTACATGAGATTCATAGTTAAAGCTATAAATCTCATGTGGAAAAAAACTCAGGATTCAAAACTACAAAATCCACAAGGAAATCACCAATGGTGAGCAAGTCGGCACACACACCACAGAGGAGGCCAGGGTCCCCAAGGACCTGAATATAGGAGGATCTGAAAATGATTACACACTTCAAAGAGACTCGGATGTCACAGGAGGACGTTAAAGAGAACAAACAGATGTGAAAAAAATTAGGGAAGCAGAAGCCACTCTAACCTCTCACCTCCTCCCTACAAGAGAAATCTACAATATAGACATACACAAGTTGATGTAAAGAGATGTGAAAAAATCAGAGAAACACAAATCAAAGAATGCTGGTGTTGCTAGATTCATGGCAAATAAATAGACCTCAAAGGCAAAAAAGGCATTATTAGGGATAAAATCAACAGAATACATGAACATCATATTTATATCCAACACAATAGCATCAAGACACAGGAAGCAAAAATTAATAGAATTACAAGTGGAAATATGCAGACATATGCTTTCAACATCTAACTCTGTCACCAATAGATCAAGCAGACAAAAATAATATAAAAATAAATAACAAGTTTACTTCTGAATGAACATATATATCTTGCATTTAATATTTAGAGAATATACATTCTTTTTCATTACATGAAGAGTATTTACAAAGTAATTGTGTACTAGTTTCTGCATGAAATATTCACAAACACCTAATCATAAACATTACAGATATTCTCTCACCATAATGCAATTAAACTAGAAATCAATATAAAAATAATAACTAATACAAAAAACCCCACACATTTGAAAATCAAAAAAACCCTCATAATGAAAATTAGAGGGTATCTAGGAATGAATAAAATAAAATTATTACCTACTTATCAAAGTTTGTAAGATGTAATTAAGTGGTTGATGTAATTTTACAATATTGAGCTTAAATTAAAAAAACGAAAACTGAAAATTAAAGGGTTAAGTATATCCAATTTAAGAAGTTAGAGGAAGTGACCCAAGCCTGCGTGCGCTCCCAGCATAACTCCTGCCGGCGGCCCGGCTCTTGCGGAGGCGCCCCCAAACCGCTTGCGGCCGCCGCCAACATGGCCAAGACCAACAAGGAAGTGGCGGTGCTGGTGCAGCGGGTGGTGAAGGACATCACTTAACGCCTTCAGGAGGAACCGCGCATACTACTATAAAAGAGCATCATTATATTTGAAGAACCAAGATTGAATGTTCATTGGCTTGGCAGGTTAACACAGTGCAGTTTGGAACATGTCCCAATTCTTGTGGATCACATTTATGGAAACTCTTGAAGGACTTTAATGCCCCTCCTTAATCCTTTTTCTACTGTAAAACTTCATTAACATATTCTAAATGTATAATTATTTCTAAGAATTTCAGTCATTTGAGATATAAAATTTTGAGATATGTTGAAAAAAAAAAAGTTAGAGGAAGTAACAAAAACGTAAGAAATGAGAAAGAAGAAAGTAGAAAGTTGGGAGCAAATGCTAGTAAAGTGAAAAACAAAGTAACAGCAGAGAATCACCAAAACCCTCTGCTGGCTCTTATGAAGTCAAATCAAATAGGCAAACCTGGCAGCCTTGGTGAAAAGACAAAGGAAGCAGCACATAAACAGTATTAGGAATAATACAAAGGATATAATGGCAGATTTTTTTTAAAAAAATCACAAGAATACTTCATTCATATCAATAACTTTGAAGAAAGACACCTTTCTAGAAAAGTATAACTTACTAAAACTTATCCAAGAGAAAACAGACATTGGTAATTATCTTTGAAAATTGTTCAGGGGCATCTACTAAAGATAGGCCATGTGTGAGACTCAGCAATTCCACTCCTGGATAAAAGAAATTCAAATACACGTTCACCAAAAGACACAGACTAGAATGTTCTCAGCAGTATTATTTATAATGGTTAAAGACTGGAACGACCCAAATGCCCATCAACTGGAGAATGGGTAAGTTATGGCATATTCATATAATGTAATACAATAAAGCAGTCTAAATGAATGAACTATAATGACATGTAACAATATGGCTGAATCTCTCAAATAATGATGAATAAAATAAACACAAAAAGTGTGTTTGTATGATTATTATATAGCATGTACTTTTCTGGATATATATCGTACTTTACTGTGATTGAAACAGTACTTAAAAATCTACCCACCAGAGAACGATCCAAGATGGCCGATCGCTAACATCCCGGGATTGCAGCTCTCAGGGAAGGCGCGGAGAACTAGAGGACGCCACACTTTCAGACAAAGTCTGGTCGCTCACGGAGCAGAAGATCCCCCAGTGGTGGAAACACACGGGTCGCCAGCGCGACTCTCGTGGTCGGCGCAGCGGTTCCGCCGGCACCTCGGCGCGGCAGCTCTCGGAGCAGAGTAAACGGGACCGGTTCCCCTTCTGACCGAGGTTTGGAGCCCCGGGAAGGCAGCGTCGCCTACTACGGAAACAAGAAGGAAGCCCGACAGGAGAATCCTGGGCAGAAAAGCACCATCAGTTTTAACGCTGCTGCTCAGGCCCTGGGAACTAACAACCTGGACGTCCACTCAAGAGACCTAATCTGAAAGTTGGTAATTTCAAAGACGAGAGGAGGATAAATTTACAATGACGGGAAGAAACCAGCGTAAAAAAGCTGAGAATACTCAAAGTCAGAACGCCTCTCCCTCTAAAGATGATCACAGTTCCACATCAACAATGGAACAAGGCTTGATGGAGAACGAGCGCCTCCTGATGACAGAATCACTCTTCAAGGAATGGATAATAACAAACTTCGGTGAGTTAAAAGAACATGTTGTAGCCCAATGTAAAGAAACTAGGAACTTTGACAAAAGGTTTGATGAAATCCTATTGAGAATAGACAACTTAGAGAGGAGTATGAGTGAATTAATGGAACTGAAGAATACAATACAGGAACTCCGAGAAGTATGCACAGGTTTAAACACTCGAATTGTTCAAGCAGAAGAAGGGATATCAGAGGTCAAAGTCCAACTTAATGAAATAAAACGTGAAGAAAAGATTAGAGAAAAAAGGATAAAAAGGAATGAGCAAAGTCTCCAAGAAATGTGGGACTATGTGAAAAGACCAAATTTACGTTTGATAGGTGTACCTGAATGCAACGGAGAGAATGAATCCAAGCTGGAAAATACCCTTCAGGATATTATTCAGGAAAATTTTCCTAAACTAGCAAAGCAGGTCAACATTCAACCCCAGGTAATACAGAGAACACCACAAAGATATTCCTCAAGAAGAGCAACCCCAAGGCACATAATCGTTAGATTCACCAGGGTTGAAACGAAGGAGAGGATACTGAGGGCAGCCAGAGAGAAAGGTCGGATAACCCACAAAGGCAAGCCTATCAGACTTACAGCAGATCTCTCGGCAGAAACTCTACAGGCCAGAAGAGAGTGGGGGCCAATATTCAACATCCTCAAAGAACAGAACCTTCAGCCCAGAATTTCATATCCAGCCAAACTAAGCTTCACAACTGAAGGAAAAATAAAATCTTTTATGAACAAGCAAGAACTCAGAGATTTTATTACCACCAGGCCTGCTTTACAAGAGCTTCTGAAAGAAGCATTACACACAGAAAGAAAC